TAACTACTACTACCAACGACCAACATATGTATATATTTTAGTTAAGCTAGCTAATAGGCAATCAAGCCTTAACCAAAATATATTGCTCTAGCTGTTGGTTTCTAGGCTAATAATCCAAAATAACATTGTAAGACATCACATTAGAATATGTAGAGGCGCATGATGCGTGCAATGCGTTTTGATGCACATTTGATAGAGACAGGCGTACGCGTCCTATGCTTATTAAGCCAAGAGAACTAGATTGCGTATACGATGCGAGCCACTGGGTGGCTAATTTGTAATTGTCTTGCTGCATGCGACAAACAAGAAGCAACAACAGTCATATATTAATATGCAACAATGGTACGCAATTACTCATGACTCTCTCTCTCTCATTCTCTCTTTCTCTCTCTTTCTGTAGTTACGACCGTTGAGCCGAACAACATGTATACAACGTGTATACCAATTGGCGGCAACTACACGGGCAGTGGAGGCGGAGGCGTATATGCACCGACAACACTTGCGAACGCCTCAACGGAGACCGTGGCATCCGGTTTCGAGGCAGCCGGGTATGCGGCGTATTCGACGGCGCTGAGCGTAACGATTGCCATCGGGTGCAGCCTGCTCATATTGAATGTGCTGATATTTGCGGGCGTGTACTACCAGCGCGACAAGACGCGGCTGGAGGTAAAGACGTTGCAGAAGCAGTATCAACAGCGCAGCATGCATCAGCAGGTACCATATCCGCCGGAGCCCATCAAGCATGCCCACTATCACATGGGCCACTCGCAGAGCGCCAATGTGATTGTGGATGTCGAGAGCCATGGCCAGGATCAGAGTGGCCAGGCGGCCATGCTGTTGCAGGCGGCCGCCGCTGCCGCCGCAGCAGCCAACGAGGCATCCAAGCCACCGCCGCCACATATATGCGCCAACACGGGCTTGCAAACACAGCAGCAGCAGCAGCAGCAGCAACAGCAGCAACAACAACAACAGCAAGCACAACAGGCAGGCGGCAGTGGAAGCATGCTGAATAATATGGCCATGGATGGCGCTAAGCCCTCGGATAACTTGGCCAATGTCACCTACAGCACCAGCACCAAACAGCAACAGCAACATCAGCAGCAGCAACAGCAACAGCAGCGCGAGCATATGCAAATCAAGAGCATGGGCGGTGGTGGAGGCACCCAGACCTTTGGTCGCGGCAGCGGCTCAGGCAGTGGTGCTGGCGGTGCGGCTGGCAACAACAGCAATGTGACTGGCACAGCGGTGGGTGTCGGTGTCGGTGGTGGCGCCTCTGTTGTTGTGTCAGGCAGCAGCGTTAGCTACAATCCCGGCCTAATGACTTTGCCCAAGGCAAGCCAATTGCACCATTCCGGAGCTCTGAATTATGCACGCAACAATACAGCTGCCTTAAATTTGGCAGGCGGCGGCACCGCCCTGGTGGATAGCCGCGGCAATGTCCTCCTCACTTCCAGCACTGGTGGCGCCCCTACCGACTGCATGACACTGCCACGCAATCTCAATCGACACAATCCAACGACAGGTGAGTTCTGCACTAACTTATTTGTGAAGCCCGCAACAGATTTAAGCTGCAAATGCAATTGGACGAATTGCTTTTTGATGCAGCCCAACCCAAACCAAACCAAACCAGCCCAGACCCAGACCAGTCCAGCCCAGCCAGAAGATGAAAGTGTTTTCTGGTTTTTCACGTTTTCGCTTTTCTTTCCGAGTGCTACGTGCAGCATTCGCCGCAAAAATGCAAACACCAACACGAAAACACCCACTAGGTGGGAGGGAGCATAGGGCATCCAAACAATGCTGCTCCAAGGTAGCAATCAGGCCATAATACGATAAGATTTCATTACATTATGAGTTGTTTTTCATTTTTGTTCCACTTTATTTGCGGGCGCACGTCTTCCTGCTGCTGGCTTAAAAGCGCACAGCTTGCATTTTATTTTCGATTAAAAAACCCTATACAAAAAATCACATTCTCAAATTGAATGAAAACACAACCTGCAGCTGTGAGAGGAAGAGGGAGAGGGAGAGGAAGTAAGGGAAAGAGAATATTTTCTGTACCGAATGATTGAATAAGCTTATGATTTCAAAGAAGAGCACGTGTGTGTAAGAGCATAAAATGCACCTGGGAAATCAAATATAAATAATTCAAACTGAAATTATAAAAGACGATTAAATACATGCCCCAGATTTACAAACGTAGGCATATGTATTTATAAATATTCAAATGAATACTTCTAAGGGC